GTCCATGGTGACCTCAAGGTCCTCTTGGTGACCTCAAGGTCCTTGTGGTGGCTCTAAGGTCTTCATGGTGGACCTACCACGTCCATGGTGACCTCAAGGTCCTCTTGGTGGCCCATCCATGTCCATGGTGACCTCAAGGTCCTCATGATGGACCAACCATCTCCATGGTGACCTCAAGGTCTTCATGGTGGCCCAGCCATGTCCATGGTGGCCTCAAGGTCTTCATGATGGACCAACCATGTCCATGATGGACCTGCCATGTCCATGGTGACCTCAAGGTCTTCATGATGGACCAGCCATGTCCATGGTGACCTTGAGTTCCTCTTGGAGGCCCATCCATGTCCATGGTGACCTCAAGGTCCTCATGGTGGACCTGCCATCTCCATGATGGACCAACCATGTCCATGGTGACCTGAAGGTCCTCGTGGTGACCTCCACGTCCACGGTGACCTCCCGTTGTCCCCCCAGAGCCACTTCATGCAGTGCACGGAGCACAACGTGGACTTTGAGGGCCTGGAGTGTGAGATCTTCGAGTCCCCGGTGCCCATGACCATGGCCCTGTCCGTGCTGGTCACCATCGAGATGTGCAACGCCCTCAACAGGTAGGGGGCGCTCTTCTTCACCACCAACACCACCATCTCCATCATCATCATCATCATCATCAACATCTCCATCATCATCATCACCAACATCTCCATCAACATCTTCTCCACCACCATCATCACCATCAACATCTCCATCATCATCACCAACATCTCTATCAACATCTTCTCCACCATCTTCTCCACCACCATCATCATCACCATCTCCATCATCATCACCATCAACATCTCCATCAACATCTTCTCCACCATCATCTCCATCATCAACACCTTCACCATCACCACCACCATCTTCATCATCATCAATCCATCATCATCACCATCAACATCTCCATCAACATCTTCTCCACCATCATCTCCATCATCAACACCTTCACCATCACCACCACCATCTTCATCATCATCAACACCTTCTCCTCCACCATCTTCTCCTCCACCATCTCCTCCTCCACCTTCTCCTCCACCTTCCATCATCATCACCAACATCTCTATCAACATCTTCTCCACCATCTTCTCCACCACCATCATCATCACCATCTCCATCATCATCACCATCAACATCTCCATCAACATCTTCTCCACCATCTTCTCCTCCACCATCTCCTCCACCTTCTCCTCCACCATCTCCTCCACCTTCTCCTCCACCATCTCCTCCACCTTCTCCTCCACCATCTCCTCCACCTTCTCCTCCACCATCTCCTCCACCTTCTCCTCCACCATCTCCTCCACCTTCTCCTCCACCATCTCCTCCACCTTCTCCTCCACCATCTCCTCCACCTTCTCCTCCACCATCTCCTCCACCTTCTCCTCCACCATCTCCTCCACCTTCTCCTCCACCATCTCCTCCACCTTCTCCTCCACCATCTCCTCCACCTTCTCCTCCACCATCTCCTCCACCTTCTCCTCCACCATCTCCTCCACCTTCTCCTCCACCATCTCCTCCACCTTCTCCTCCACCATCTCCTCCACCTTCTCCTCCACCATCTCCTCCACCTTCTCCTCCACCATCTCCTCCACCTTCTCCTCCACCATCTCCTCCACCTTCTCCTCCACCATCTCCTCCACCTTCTCCTCCACCTTCTCCTCCATCATCACCACCATCATCACCTTCACCACCACAACCACCTTCATCTCCATCTTCTCCACCTTCTTCTCCACCTCCATCATCTTCTTCACCTTCTCCTTCCCCACCACCTCCATCTTGTCCACCCTCACCATCTTCTCCACCATCACCTTGGTCATCAGCACTTTCTCCACCATCATCTCCACCATCTCCACCTTCTTCTCCACCACCTTCTCCTCCACCTTCTCCACCTCCACCTTCTCCATCTCCACATTCTTTACCTTCTTCTTCTCCACCTTCTCCACCACCTTCACCTTCTCCACCTCCATCTCCACCACCATCTTCTTCACCTTCATCTCCATCTTCACCTCCACCTTCTCCACCTCCATCATCTTCTCTATCTCCATCTTCTCCATCTCCACCTTCTCCAATTTCTCCACCTTCTCCTCCATCTTCTCCACCACCTCCATCGTCTTCTCCATCTTCTCCACCTCCATTTCCTCCATCTCCACCTTCTTCTCCATCTTCACCTTCTCCACCACCTCCATCTTCTCCTTCCCCCCCTTTTCCTTCTCCACCTCCATCTCCATGTCCTCCATCTCCTCCATCTCCTCCATCTCCT